CAAAACAGTGTGTATATGACAAAGATATGGCATCGTTGTGGAACCATCAGCTTGTTGATATCACTTGGCATCCCTTATCTACATCTTTATGTACTTTCCAAGAACCTTGATTACTGTATGTTGTTTAAAGGGGCATCAAGTGGTATTGTTTGAAATTTTAGGTTTGGTTTGCAGAAATAAAGAAAGTTCAAGAAGGAAAAGTAAAAATGATTTAAATCAAATCAGAGAAAAATGATTTAAATCAAGTCAGAGCCTGATTCTACATAAACAAGAAGAAGTCAGATTTTACAAAATCAAAGCCTGATGTATTTACCTCTTGTTACAGCTTGAAAGTGAAAAATCACTTAATGGAGAAATAAGATGTAACTGTTGTAGTGATGTATGATGCCCAGGCATTAAATGCAATTAGAATCTACCTTTCTTATTTGGTTGGATAATTATTGCAATTGTTTCTTACCTGTTATGGTCATCTGACACTGCTCTAACTTTTATGTTTATTCTTCAAGTGCATTTGAAATCTGATAAGCATAATGCGTTTGCATAAATTTATTTTGATTTCTGTATGAATTAATCCCCAGGTTCTAACATAAAGAAGGAGGAAATGGAACAGCTTGTCATACAGCTTATACTTGACTTTGTTTTTGTAAGTACCTGTATGCTTTAACTTTGAGTACGTAAAGCAAGCTGGTGCATAATAATATTGTTTGAATTGGTTGCTGAGTCACTTGTGACACTGAAAATACGTGCAATGTCTAGATTGTTAAGTGAAAAGTAAATATGCTCAAAAAAAAAAAAAATTGAGGGAAGAAAGAAACATCATTTGTTTCATATCTTAGATTGTTATTGAAGTTTATGTCGAGCACAAATATCGCTGGCATGATATTGTGTTTTCATGTCTACTCTTTTTGCAATGTTATATCAACCTTAAAAGGCTTTGCCAATTTTTGTCTCTGTCTCTGTTCATATCTTAGATTGTTATTGAAGTTTATGTCAAGCACAAATATCGCTGGCATGATATCGGCTTTGCCAATTTTTGTCTCTGTCTTTGTTTATGTAGAAAGAAGAATTTCAACATACAGCCTATGCTACAAATGCTTATGTGACAATAGGTCCATTGGCAAATCAGGTGCTGCAAGGTACGGTTCTAAATCAGTTACTTAATTATATAATCTGGCCTGCATATTTTTGGAGCTTATTTCTATTATGTCGTTTCCTGTTCAATACAAGTGTTGAGAAATTTTGGAATTCCATGTAGGCTTGTACAGTCTCCCTCAGCAGTAAGGCCGTGAGTATGTGAGTATGTAATTGACGAATTCCATGTAGGCTTGTACAGTCTCCCTTAGCAGTAAGGCCGTGAGTATGTAATTGATGTAATGTTGATACCTGTCATTTTGCATACAGGCAAGAAGATAGTTAAGCTTGAGATCTCTAGCAAACAGAAGAATAAGGGTGATAGCATGAAATCAGCAAAGCACAGCCTTGCATTTTCAGGTTTGGAGTTGAAACTTGATGAGTTGCGGGAGAAACTCTCTTCAGGTCATGGTGGAATATTTCCCCATTCTGTCTTGTCTAGCCAGCAGATGAGCATGATAAGTTCCCAGAAACCAAGTTCAGCACAAGAGGCAAGTCCCTACCATGTTGATATGTTACTATTGAGTATTTACCCTTGGCATGGAGCTGGTTGGAATATCATTCCAGTTTGTCATTCCTCGTAGTGCTTCAGCTGCAGCACTCCATTGATTACAAAACTTTAATTATATATTGGAAAAAACTGATCTTGTTTGTTTACGAGAGCTAGCACTCTCTAATTGGATGATGTTGACTTCTGGCCAGCTGTAATTCTTGATGCTCCTGCTCAATACATTCATGCACAGGCTCATGTGCAAAGAGCCACCAAAACCCCTGCATGTAAAATGCACTGTAATCACTGCCAGATGTATGATCCAACCAATCATGAACTATTCATTTTAGGCAGCCTTAAAGGAACTTCAGGCAATATCTATAACAGATCTTGTGCCTGCGATGGCTTGTCATTCTCAGAATAGTCCAAAAGAATTGCAACTTCCTAACTGATCAATGCTTGCCACAACATTTCAATTGTAGTACAGCCCAAGCTAGCCTCATCAACCTGATAAGTTTATTGTATCTGTTCTTCTTTGCAGTTGGAGAAGATAATTGGAAAGCTAAAGACAGAAAAGTATGGGAGTAAAATTCTAGATGAGATCAAGAAGTACACTGGCTCTGAGCCGCCTGATAATGGCATGTTGAATGAGGAAGAAGGAAGCGGGAATAGAGCTAGCAAGAGGTTAAAGACAAGAAAGGGTATTGTTGTTATCGAGAGCAGTGATGAGGAATTATAAAGGTTCGTCTGATGCTTCTTGAAGTACTCCTTACTTTCACCATGAGCCCTTCAGAAAGACCACCCTAACCATGATGCAGACTTGGTTGTGTTCATGGTTTGTTTCAATATTTTGTTTGGTCGATGAAGTAGCCTAGGGATTTTTATCTACCCTTATGATGATGCTTGGTGGTCAGGGAGAAAGAGATGGGGTTGCAGAAAATTTCTTATTCATACACAATTTTGAATCTGACCAAATCTTTGGGAGAACTAGATATTTTGGTTACACTTCTCTGTAGCAGTCCCAACACTCTGATTTAGTTAGTGGTAAGGAACGGCTAATTACAAGTGTGTGATCACCATTGGGATGGTGATTGTATTTAGATACTGATGAAGAAGTAAAAGTATCCAGTAAAAGCTAGGGCAGGTGTTGGATCTATTGTAATTTTTTTTCTTGAAGATCTGGAGTTCCAAGATATCCATTGCATTTTTGTTAATTTATTTCGTGACAAGTCATCATTCGTCCCATTGTTTTGGATACACAGATGGAACATGTAGGCTTCCTTTATTTGTCTGTAGAAAAATTGATCCATTTCTTTACTCATCACACATGCAAAACTGGGTATCTAATTTTGAAATTTTAATGGTTTGTTCCTGTCTTTCTACTTTTGTTTTGTGTTTAAAGGATATCTTCCTGTTTTCTTTATTTATATCATCTTTTTACATAATATAATTGTTAGCTACCTGCTCATATCATGTAATATTTTGTTGATATATATTTTGGTTCCTAAAGTTTTGCAAATTTTTTATCTTGATTCTTATATTTTATTTTATTTTGCAAATAAGCTCTTAAGTGAAGTTTTTTATTCTCCTATTTTACAATAAATGTAATTTATTTCTTAAACTTGTTTTCAATTAAGTCCCTACAAGTAAAATATTAATCTTGGTTAAAATTGTGACAATAGATGTGATATTCTTGGAAACCAAAGTTTTTACTTTTTCAATGGGTATGTCTATTTAAATTCATTTAGTTTTTACTGTGTCCATCAATCCGTCTAAATTATAGAAAATAATTATTGAAAAATAATATATTTATGATGAAATGAGAAGAAATCAAAGTAAAAATGCTTTCATTAATTTAAAAAAATGATGAAATGAGAAAAAATCAAAGTAAAAATGCTTTCATTAATTTAAAAAAATTAGAATTTCGGGATTAAATTTGAAGATTAAACAAATTTTTAATTTTTAATTTTTTAATATTAAGTACTAATTTGTATAACTAAGAAAAAAGCTCATGTTCATTTTTTTTTCCAGTTACTCAACTTTCTTATAATTTTTTTTATCCATTCACATTATTTGTATTTATCGTTTTATTTAGTAGTTCATTTTGGTTGTTTGGATGCTAGGTTCTTGCAATATCAAGGAAATATTTTGATACTGAGTTAATGTTTAGTTTATTAAAAAAAAATAGTTAAATTACAATAATTAAGTGTTAATAATCTAAAATTGAACATATGATTTTATTTGGTGGTTAAACACCATCATTCTTTTTTTTTTTTGTTATTTACGTGGGTGTCTAGGTTAGTTTGCGCGCACCACCACTAATCCCACGGCTTACTGAACATCCTGCAAGCTCAGTAGGCAAGTAAGATACTGTGGGGATGGTAGACAGGTGCACAAAGAGGATCGAACTCGGGACAGTCGTAAGGTAAACCTTGCAATTGACCACTGAGCTAAACCCTCAAGTGCTGAACACCACCATTCTTGATGGCATTGGAAATGGTGCATAAGACCTTTTTGATGAGGCGATGCATGTTAACTGAGGAGTAGTGGTGGGCTTTAATAATTTTTTTTTAATGTTTTTTTTTTTATCTTTTTAGATTTCACATTGATCTATTCAAAATTAAAAGGTGTCTTATTAAGGTTACAAGTTTAAAAAGTTAACTCGGGTTGTCATCAATCTTTTTACTATAATTTTTTAACATTAATTTTTTTTAATTGAGTTTGTTGGAAATTGATCTTTGCTTTCATTTTTTCCCCCCAAAGTTCTTATGATTTTTAATTTATCTTTCAAATTAAGTTTTGTTAAAATAATAGTGAGTGATAATATTACTAATAATAATACTAATAATGATAATAATACTAATAATAATAAAAACAACAACAATAACAATAATAATTGTGACAATGTTAATAATGATGATGAAATCAATAATAAATTAATAATACTATTAATAGTGATAATAATTGTAGTAATAATAACATTTTTTTCAAAAATTATAATTCCGTTAAATTTCATAACCCAATTTACAAGTTTGACATGCTAGTCTGAGTAACCTGATTTATAGATTTGATGGGTTTATTCATTAAATAGATATAATTTTTTCTAATTCATTGATTTTTATTTTTTTTTAATATTAGATTGGTTGAAAAATAAATTACATAATTTATTTTTTATTATTTTAAATAAAATTATTAATATTTAAAAAAATATTTATTTTTAAATTTCACATGCCATTTATCGTGGAGATTATGTTCTGAAAGTAAAAAAAAAAGAATGTTTGACAGGCAGCATTTATCGTGAAGACGAGCCCAAAGGTGAAACAATCCGGCCCAAGATGAATTTTTGTTTTGAGAAATTTTTCAATAATTTCTCTTATTTATCGATTGAATCTTCCAGGAACAGGAAGATACTAGCCAGGGTAAAGGCATTCGATCTCCCTGTCTGCGTCGTCGTCCTCTTCCTCCTAAACAAATAGTTTGTAATAATAATAATTGAAGAAGCATGAAGAAGCTATCCTTCTCAATCCCATCAAAATCCAAATCAAAACCTAAACCAGTCTCAGATCAGCCAGACAATGACACCTCCAAACAATATCTCACCGAATTCGATCCCTCAAAAAACCTACTCCCTCAAAACGCTCACACCCCAATTATCCTACCTATTCAAAACGATTACCAACCCCACAAGAAAATGAAAAACATCCACCTCCCTCTCCACCATGATGATTCCTCCGCCGACCTCCGTTTCGAAGTCGAAACCCTCTCCTCCGATCCCGCCACCGCCGCCTCCGATTCCATTTCCTTCGGTCTCAATCTCCGCCACTCCACCACCACGCCAACCCAAGATGCCAGAACCGAGGACGTGCTGTTGGAGAAATTGAGGTATGATCTGAAGAGGTTGCCCGAAGATAGAGGGTTTGAGGAGTTTGAAGAAATGCCGGTTGAGGATTTTGCGAAAGCGTTGCTTAAGGGTTATGGTTGGCATGAAGGGAGAGGTGTTGGTAAGAATTCTAAGGAAGATGTTCAAGTCAAGCAGTACACGAAAAGAACTGATAAAGAAGGTTTGGGCTTTCTTGCTGCCTCACATGATTCTAAAAATAGTAAGAGCAGTAGCAGTAATAGTAATGTTAATGGTAGTGGTAGTGTTAATGTTAAAGAGAAACAAAGAGAAAGTAGTAAAGATGGGCTTTTTTTGGGTAAAGAAGTTAGAGTTATTAGTGGTAAAAAGGAAAATTTGGGGTTAAAAGGTACGGTTGTGGAGAGATTGGGTTCGGATTCAATTGCTTTGAGGGTAGAAAAGAGTGGGGAGAGAGTGAAAGTCCGGGTTTCTGATGTTGCAGAATTGGGGTCGAGAGAAGAGGAGAGGTGCTTGAAGGAGTTAAAGAGTATAGAAGAGAAGAAACCAAGTGATGGGGATAGGGAACAACGGCACGTTAATAAGCGGAATGTAGAGAGTAGAGAAAGCTTGAAGATGGGGAATGGTAATGTTGGTAAAGAGAGAGGAGTTCAGTGGCTTAGGAGGCATATTCGGGTTAGGATAATTAGTAAGGACTTGAAAGGGGGGAAATTGTATTTGAAGAAAGGGGAGGTGGTAGATGTGGTTGGGCCTTACAAGTGTGATATAAGTATGGATGCGAGTAGAGAGTTGGTGCAAAGTGTGGATCAGGATGCTCTAGAGACTGCATTGCCACGACGTGGGGGTCCGGTTCTTGTTCTTTATGGAAGGCATAAAGGAGCTTATGGGAATTTGGTTCAAAGGGACATGGACAGAGAGGTTGGTGTTGTGCAGGATTCTGGTAGCCATGAGTTGCTTAATGTCAAACTCGAGCAAATTGCTGAGTATGTTGGAGATCCCAGCTACATTGGTTATTGATTCTCTTGGTGAGCATTGCAGACCCATTTACATGAATAGTTTGTCTTGATTGCTTATGATGATAAATGTGTATCTATTCGGATGCTTTAAGGAATTTTATGGGTCTAATGTTATTTGAATTGATATTGTTGCTTCAGTTGATACTTTAGGTAATAAATCATTTTTCAGTCGTGTTTCTCTATTTTCACATGCACAGTTCATGTTGAAGTCTGATGAATTTGGACATGAAATAAAAATTTCATCATATGTGAATAAAATTGCTTTTTAGACAAACTCTTTCTAGTCTAAAATGCTTTCGAATCTCAAGTTTGAAGATCATAAATTGCTTTTTAGCAAACTCTTGTTTGGATTATTTTCAGTTTCTTGGTAATATATATTTGCCAAATATTGAATCCTTGTAGTGTTCACTGGGGCTATCTTTAGTTTTTTCATTGGCCAGCCAAATGCATTTTCTTGCTTAAGTTTCAAAGTTTGTGCAAAACTGATGAAATCGGGCTTTAGAGTTATTCTCGGCTTCTAATCATATAGGTTAGGCCACTGCAAATTATTGTTAGGGTAGGAGAATTTCAGACAAGATAAGATGTTAGGGGATTTGCAAATTATCCGGAGTAAAAAATAAGATTATTGGGGTTACACCTTACCAAAATGTAGAGGGGTTAATTGTGTCTGATATCCTTTACTATGGGGTTTAATTAGTTGGGTCTCTCTACTACTAATCTGATTATTTGGATCCTTCTATTATTCTGTCCATAATCGTTAGTGACCATTATCTTATGAAACCGGTAAAGGATGTGTATTGTCATGATGGTAGCGTGGCATATGTCCATATTGGACATGAATAACATGCTATCTTTTTTTTTTTAAAAAAAAATTCTGTTATAAGAAAGAGAACAAAAAATTGTTTATGTCTTTGTTCCTCCTCCTATTCGCTGCTTCTTCCATTTGAGCTTCCTCTACCTTTCCTTGTATTGTCACACTCTCTCTCTTCTTCTTCTTCTCATTGTCTTTCCTTGTATTGCTGCCTGCACCTAATGAGGTTCATGACATGGTTCTTGTTTTTGGTAGAGGTCATGGTACCTTTTGTATTCCCGCTTAAGGATCTTGTACTCTTCCTTGTTGACCCTCACCTTCTATGACACAAAATGGAAAAAACATAAGAAAAACAACAAGCACAAAACAACGCAAAATTCTACCTAATAGAGTTACCATACCATAAACCCTAATTCTAAATTTTATTACTCAATATTTTTTCTAACCAAAACTCAATATTACAACTTTTCTAGTCTTTTTTATAAACTAGAAAAAATATCATAAACAAAGCTAGAAAAATAATAAAAAAGTTCTAAACCAAATATAAAAAAGAATCCTAAATCAATCAGGCCTTGTTTGTTTGTAGGAAAGTTGTTTCCTTATGGAAAGTGAATTATGGAAAAGTGAACTATTTTTTGATGTTTAGTAGTGTAATGAAAAATAAGTTGGAAAACACTTTCCAGTGTTTGG